CCCCCCCCCACACACACACATTATGTTCTTAGAATCATTGTTATTCTATTTTCTGATTTGTTACACTGGTTAGGATAAACATATATATTTGTATATATTTTCAACATGCCAATATTGAGAAATAGCGCATAATTAAACCTCATTAAAACCACATACAAGTTATGGTAAATGGTACATATTTACGTTTAATATGTTGTTATATTTTAAACAGTTTTGGGTGTTTGTGCTACTGTGTTAACCATCAGTAAAACACATAAATCATGGTTCTGTGTTTACAAATTACAACACTTAATGTTATTTTTCTGATTCAGAATTAAGTGTATGATGAGCAGGCGGCACAGTTCTTATCTTTCTGCATTCCTCCAGACGCACACAAAATTACCAAGGTTGAAGCTGGCTCATGTGCACACACACAAGCCATCAGACATTAGAAATGTTATTTCCACAAGTCAAACTATGTTTCTCATTTATTTATTGATCAAAGTTATATTTTAATTTCTCTTTGATTAAGAATAAAAATGCTTTATTATTAGGAAATAGAGAAAAGCTCTGTTATAGCACATTTTTAATCACATAAGACTGGATATAAAGACCTTTAACCTTTCCTACCTGCGATGTAGAGGCAGCCAGAGAGACGCTTCAATCTCCTTCTACTACAGATGTCACGACAATAGATACAATCGAATTCAATTTAAAATGCAACACTCCCATTTATCGGGGCTTGGATCTAGAGGTGGATTTAAAAGAATTGATTTCCCAATTCAAATACAATTTAATTTAAATAATCAGATATTAATTCATTAAATCCTGAAATCTATTTGAATTCTAATACATATTGTCAGAAACATCAGAATCTAAGCTGAAAGCTCACCAAAGAATTTCAACAACTATCAAACAACTAAAACACCAAACAATTAAAGAGCAAGTAACCAGATTCCACAGAATCGTTCAACTGACAGCACGTACATGGACATGCTGTCAGATGCTGTAAGCAGACATTTTCCCTACAGACATGAAACTCCAGGAACCACTCAAAACAGGAACTAAAGTTTTCTCCCCATGACCTGATGGTTGCTTTTGCTTAGAGAAAAAAAAATGTGGGTTTCAGTCTTTTAGTGCCTCATCAAAACTTTTTTGGAATATGTTGTTGGCATTAAAATCAAAATAAACTAAAATGTTTAAGAGCTGCATGGAATTTAGGGCTGATATCAATCTTCAAGATAACAATGTGGCCAAGGATCAATATTTTTTTGATAATCTTCAAAACTATTTTTGTCTTTCAATTAAAAAATAAAATTTCTCATATTTTACAATGTTGTTTTGCACATGTATGAATAAATATTTGAGTTTAAAAGATTTGATCATTGAATTGATTGAATCATCTATTTGTCATTAAGTTTATGTAGATGGAAAATGATCTGTACTGACTTCACTTTTACCAAAGAAACCTGTAAGTAATTGCAGAACAGAGATCAGAATGTGAACAAACAACCTGAACAGAAAGAGGGTCAGAGGGTCTGTTATTTCCTTTTGACTCTTCTCACTGTTAATAATTACTTTTCAATGATTTTCCAGCAGTAAAGACATCATCTGCTGCAGATTTTGTGGCTTCAGGACGGTCTATAACTTTAAGGCCAAGCTAAATAACTCACATCACTGACTCTTGGTCTCAGTAGCCAGCTGCTTTGCCTTTTTTCCTTTCATCAGACCACGCAGAGATACAGCCATCATCCTCCTTCTCCACAGCATTAACTACATTGTAGAATATTGCTATATTATGTCCCAGAGCTTTAAGAGAATTTATTAAATCCTGCAGGGCAAAGAGGAAAGGAGACTCAGGTGTAACAAAAGTAGTATGATTTCTTATTTTATCATATGACTGTGCTGAATATATTACCTTTTGGGTAAGCTCGGGTTCAAACATAACGTCATATTCGGAGTCGACGAAAAAAACTGGAGCTTTAATTGCATCCTCAAGGCTCTTGTTAAACCAAAGATGATTGATGAGTGCCTTGGGCAGAGATAAAAAATACACAGCAATCTTTGAGATGATGAAGTGATGATTACAGGATAGATTAGAGTGAAGAAGGTCTTGATTATGATACCCGCTATAACATCAAAGAGGAGCATCATTCTGCATCAATTTATCACATTTTTTGTGTTTATTATGGACACATACTGAGGCTATTCCAGTTGTAATCATAGTCGAACCAGCTCCTCCGATTACCAGCATCTTTGACTGGGACTTCAGCACAGCTGGGGCCATAGAGGAAGGAGGACGCTCCCCTGACAAATACAATACAAGCCTTTAATGACAGGACGAAACTACAATTCAGACTCATCAATGTGAGAAAAACAAGGGAAAAAAAATTAAAAACAATTGGACCTCATTCATAAATAGGACACACACACACACACAAATCTGTGCATAAAAGATGGCCCGGTGTGTGTGGCTGCTCGTCTGTCACTGCTAACTTTGTTCCTGTTTATATTACTTCTAATCTTTGTCATCCACGAAACAAAGTCTCTGCTAAGGTATGGTCGCCAGACACTACTTGTCTTAGCTAATTATAGGCCAATCTCCAACCTTCCTTTCATATCAAACATCCTTGAAAGAGTAGTTGTCAAACAGCTAACAGATCATCTTCAGAGGAATGGCTTATTTGAAGAGTTTCAGTCAGGTTTCAGAGCTCATCACAGCACAGAAACAGCTTTAGTGAAGGTTACAAATTATCTTCTTATGGCCTCTGACAGTGGACTCATCTCTGTGCTTGTCCTGCTAGACCTCAGTGCAGCATTCGATACTGTCGACCATAATATTCTATTAGCGCGGTTAGAGCACACTGTATTAGTATTAGTATTAGTATTTTTATTTATTGTCATTGTCAAGAACAATGAAATTGCGTTTGGGGCTTCCATACAACCC